GGGGGGGGTTAACACTGGTTTAAAGTAGTTGGTTGCAACATAAGTAAGGTTATATCATTAGTCTAATTAGGGCATCATTAATGATACAATTGAGGTTATGATGTAAAACTCGAAATAGATGGTTGTGCCACAACCAATTTTATAATGGATGTCTTCGGGTTATAATGATTATAATATACATAGCGTTATAACTTAAATTTCTGATGATATGAATATGTTGCATATAAGGTTGTAATTCATGTCAAGATGCAATGATTTCACAATATAAGTAGAACTTTACCTTGTTTCTTAAATGAGCTTATTATGGTGTAAGAAATAATTATAGCATAGTTTTGATGTATTGATAATAATTATATAATATGGTTACAATATAGATCTTGGAGGAAATGATTGGCTAATAGGTGATGGCAATAGTGAAAATGATATTAGAATATAAATGTAGAAGTAAATGGCTACGACATAAGCAAAGTTATTGCTCAAATTTGAATGTAAATATATGTGAGATAAGTGAGATTGTATCACATAGTTCACAAAGGAGACAATTTTGGCTTAATTGATGTTGTTGTAAAGTTTTTTCACTAGATGTGTATCACAAGAAAACTTTTAGATACAATCCAGAAGTAGATGGATATGATGTATGAGAGGTTGAAACACCACTATAGATTTAATAACATTTATGATGCAAATAAAGATACAATATATGTTTGGATGCATCAATGGCTTTGATGTAAGCAAGGATATGCTATACTTCATGATGCTACACAAGAAAGGTTTTAATGTAATTATATATTCAATAATGGCTTAATCTTATGCAAGATTGTGTAACTCCAACTGCAGTCATCCCTTTTTTGGAAAGAAGGTTACGATCTAGGTCTGATGTAGGTATATATATAGAAATATTTAGAAAAGAGCTTGTTGTGGTTGAGGGTGTTGAAGTTTAGAAAAGGGGTTTTTTGAAAAGTTTGATCTTCTTTAGGGAATTCGAAATTGACTTTCCATCTCGAATATCATTGCTAAATTTAGGAAAGAACTACATATGGCCCTGAAGGGTCAAAGTGAAGTTCGATCAAATAACTAGCTATGATAATCTACATAAATTATCTTTAGTTCCATATTGGATGTTTTATCAACAAATGATATATCTCCCCAAAGGAAGAAAATATCATTCATTATCAATTATCCAAACATGACAATGATGATCGTCATTGAGTTTGATTTTCCTAAAAAGGATTAATTGAGTTTTGGAAATCAATTTTTAAAAAAGTGGACATGAATTCTAAATCTCATACGAGCGCAAGCCCACGTAGTTCATTATTTCATAATGAGGTTGAATTTCCTATAAATACTCTCAATTAAAATAATGGTAGAAAA